TTTACTGACCTCTTGAAATTGTATAGAGCAGGGACAAAGCTTCCTGGTTTGAAAAACTTAGTCAATGCACAAGTTTCTTAAACCTGCATTCTTTGAAAGCTACCAAAGTGTGTGTCAGTCACTCAGTTTGGCTCATACTGAATAAGAAAATTAAGTCTGTTTTGGAAATCTTGCTCATACTATATTCCAAAATGGAGCTTTATTGGTTTTATGAAACCACAAGCGGTTGACTAATGAGCAGTCATTAGCGAATGAGCAGTTTGACAGAAAGCGCCACCAAAACAAGAGGGCAATGGTGTCAATGCTCATCCCGAGACTTCAAAATAAATATCTGACAACAAAGTTAATTTTACTGATATTACATTTACACTGAGAGTTATATAACTTTCTCAAAGAGCCACAAGTTTCTTAGTGCACCCTCTACCCATCCAAGCTTCATGGTTCAGCAGTCATATGAGCGTAACAAAGTTATTGTTAGACAGTGGGAAGCAATCATGAAAGTGAACTTTTTGTCATCATCCTGCCCAACACCAAAGAGAATAGAACCAGAGGTTAATAACCTCATTTAATTGAAACAAAACATAATCCTCTTACCAAATGAAAGCTATTATTAGCTTATCAGTAAGTACTCTATCACCCCATTAAGAGCAAGACTGAGGATCATGCTTAACATGCATTAGTGTCAGATTTTGTCTTCAGTTTGAGCAGCCGAGGGTCTATTATGCCCATAATTTTCAGATCATTTTCCCTTCATTATCTTCTATTCAAAAAGAGAAAATCCAGAGCAGAATGGAGTCGAGCAAAAGCCAACTCAAACATCAACAGCACTGCTGGAATTAACTCATAAGGCTTTAAAACACTGATATGTCTGCATTGTTTAATGTGTACCCTCAGATGCAATTAGACTCCCTAACTTTAAAGAGCCAAGAGTGAGTATCCTTGTAACAAAAACCTGCAATTGATGTTTTTCTCTAAAATGTAAAGAATTACAATTCATAGCTTTTCTCAGTCTTAACAAAGTGGTTTGGAAATTGTTTTTGGTGGCGAGAAAGCAAGGACAACTTGGATCTTTGATTGCTTTATAAATAGATGCATGTCAGGGTCCCATACTTTACATGATACCTGGTTCATCTGCCTCAGTAGGACACCTGCCTCTTAGCAAGTTGATGTCCTTATTGTCCCTTTACATAGCAATTCATCATGTTTTCAATTAACTGTCAGTATTTTTCACACAGCGGCTATTGACCTTTAGCCAAAAACAAACCCGTATCCCATTAAATTACTAGATTAATGTTGTTTATCAAGCTTCCTGCTCTTGCACAGGGCTTAAGCAGCTAATAGATGAGGCAGGTTTAATGTTTTCATTCTGGATGCTTTTCTTTAATGTGTAGCCCCACAAAATATCATTAGCATGTGGTACCTAGCCCCAGAAGGACATTTTTAGTCACTGTTGAAGGTGATAAGCTAATTAGCCAGATGACAAATGCCAGATGCTAAATGAAAGAAAAGGACATCATGGTACAGTTTGTGGTTACAACCCCATGGCATGACCCGACAATCATTGCTTTTTATTCTCATTCTAGCTTAGCTAGCTCTATGAACAGCACAGGCAGCCAACCTGACAAGCATTTGGTTCACTAAATTCACAAATCAAATCAACTAATTTAAGCATAAACAACATATTTTAAATCGCATAATGAACTGATATGTGTAACAATACGATGTAATACAATACAATGTGTGTGTGCATACAATCACGCACACATAATATGCTCATAGAGGAATGTAGCCACAGTTACAAAGCTATCTGTAACGGATGACATTGTATGCAAAACAGGAGAAACATTTTCTCGACATGCAGAAGTAGATCAATGAATTCATCACTCACCAGGACAGTTGCGGTAACTGACTCTAAGAGCAGATAAACTCAACACATTTCCATTTGTTCTGCCATTTTTTGAATAAGATCATGCTTTTAAACTAGCTGCACAAGCTGAAGAATGACTTTTTTGGTTCCAAAGACACATATGGGGATTAATTCCCAAAGTATGACTCGAATAGGACTGGGTGTTCAAGTTTTTCATTATCAAATTTTAGGATTTAGTTTTACTTGGTTGTAAAAGTATGTTAGTAAAATTCAGCTGAGGGGACACAGCAACCTTTATGGACAGGCCTGGACCCCTGGGGCCCATCTTAGTGCTGACACTGGCAAGCTCCAAGCCACACTGAGAGCCTTCTGTGTAGTAGCAAGCACTGCTTGCTTTACCTTGAGCTTCATCTAAAAACACAACACGTTCCTCTGTGGAGCTTTCCAGTTCTATGCATCCACTTTGGACATTTCATTTGAGCAATTAAGGTGCTTCTTGTTGAAGGACAGAACTGGGTACTATGCATCAATTCAGACCAAACAAGGAAGTCCACCATTTTTATTTCTAAATCCATTATGCCCTCTTATTGTGCCCACACAGGGACATGTCTTTACTAATTTGTTCCAGTTCTTTATAATCAGGAGCACAAAGGAGACTACTAGGGAATAGGGAGTGGATACTTTAGACCAGCGGTCTCCAACCTTTTTTGCACCACGGACCGGTTTATGCCCGACAATATTTTCACGGACTGGCCTTTAAGGTGTCGCGGATAAATACAACAAAATAAAACTAGTACCGGTACCGAAAAAAAAAGATTTATTCATAACACACGTGAAAAGACCCAGGAAAACCGAGTTAACGATAAAAACGATAACAAAATAACGCCGAAAACCGATAAAAACCCTGAAAACCATACATTTCACACCTGAGCTTCTACTAACGACTCATGGACCGGTACCGGTCCGAGGCCTGGGGGTTGGGAACAGCTGCTTTAGACTTCTCAAGACTTGCCTCAAAGCTGTACATACAATTAACCAGGAATGTTATTGTGAAAGTTATTGAGCTATTTTGTGACTTACAGATGAATGACTAATTCTGACACATTACAGTTGCTTATTAGAGTAAACATTAAGTGGTATGACATTATGAACAACCTGCTTACCCTCTTTATGGGTACCAAGCACTTCAGCATAACCAAGTGTTACAATTTGGCCCTGATACAGCCACACCAAAAAGGAAATACTACTGACAGATTAATTTATTATCTTTTTTTACTCTTTTGGTGCTATGACCCCACATCCAATAATGTAAAAAAGGAAATACTGTTAATTCTAAGGTTTGATCAGGTCATGATAAAAAATGAAGTTCTTATCAGGTCTCAAAATCTGGTAAATAAAACCTCAGATAAACAACACATGACTTATTACACTTTGCCATTATTTATTTAACAAACAAGCCAAAATGCAGTAGCAGTGTGTGGGAAAACCAAGTACACCCAATGGTTCAATAACTCCGGAACTTTTTTGCAGGTTTTTGTACAGTCTGTCCTTGGGATGGATTTACTGGGCTGTCCAGTCCTGGGATGATCAGCAGCTGCCATTAATGTTTTCCACTCATAAAAAATTGTTCACAGAATAGAATGATGACCACAGACTGTTTAGAAACTTTTCTTTCCTCATTGGCATGATGATTGTCAGTTTATCAGGTGCATTTGATTAGCAGCGCCTGGCTGAACCTTGCCCTCTTCATAACGGTGCACTTAGACGTTCACACGCTGCTTTTACTTTTTGGCTCATTATTTTTCTAACTAACTAAATAAATAACAACACAGTGTAATATTTCATATTTTTTGTTTATGTGAGATTGCATTTACTGAAATTTAGAACCCACTAAGGACCATATTATGTTTCATTATGTCCTCATATATAACACTTTCGAATTTACAAATGGTGGTGTCTCTTTTTACCATGACTGTATAAGCAGGCTACACCACATGCTTACCCCTGTTGATGAGCTCCCGATGGATATACTTGTTTTTCTTTACCGATTCTTCCAGCTTGCATGGAACACAGAGAGTAACTGGATCCAATTTAATTTGTTAGCTGACTTCCTGTCTTATCCAAACCTATTTGCAAACTATGCTTAGCATGATGGAGCTTCAACTGAAATAATTGCCAATAAGACACATACAACTAATTTAGAAACAAGACTAGCTCAAATAAGGAAATTATAGATGGCAATGAGGAAGAGACAGAGCTTTAAATCAATTTCATTTATAATAGCATAGCTTACTGCATTCATCTCAGTGTTTGGGACAGTGTTTCATTAGATCAGTGTTTTCCCATTTTAACCTGGATGCACTTGGGGCCCAGTTTCATGCATAGGTGTCACTTCTATTATGATAACTTTCCTCATATTTTCAACTAATTATATCATGGAGGATGTCCTGTGGGAAAGTAGAAAATAGATTTCTTCCTAATGATTTCATAAAACATCTTTATCTTGAATCTGATTTAGGGGCTAATAAGCTAAAATTAGTCACAGTAAAGCAGCATACTATACCTTGAATAAGATTACACATTAATATTATTATTATTGTGTGACAATGAATGTCTCTGATATACAGATCTGGACCAGGGCATCAATGAGCTCCTGGATCTGCTAAGCTCTGAAATGCAACCTGGCGGCATTGGATGGTCAAAAACATGATGTTCCAGAGGTGTTCCACTGGATTTAGGTCAGGTGCGTGCGGGGGCCAGTCAATGGCGTCGATTCCTTCATCCTCTGGGAACTGCCTGCATACTCTCACCCAGGGGACCAGGCATTGCCATGCACCAAGAGAAACCCAGGACCCTGTAGAGGTCTGTGTGTCCCTCCATGGATATGCCTCCTCAGAACCAACCCTCCACCAAACCAGTCAAGCTGAACCATATTACAGGCAGCATAATGTTCTCCACAGCTTCTGCAGACCATTTCACATCTGTCACTCAGGCTTATCAGACTCCTGGGCAGTGAACACAGGGCCCTGTAGAGGACACTGGGCCCTCAGGTTCAGAGTTCATATTGTAGCTTTGGCAGTGGCCATCCTTTCCCTCTGTGCACAAAGGAACAAATACTTGTCATGCTGTTGGGTTAAGGACCTACTACGGCTCTGTCCAGCTCTCCTAGAGGAACAGTCTGTCTCTGGGAATCTCGTCCATGCACTTGAGACTGTGCTGAGAGACACAGCAAACCTTTAGACAATGGGATGTATTGATGTGCCACCTTGGAGCAGTTTGACATCCCGTGTCACCTCTGTAGGGTCACCGCATCGCCTCTCGTTAACAGCAGTGACACTGACCCTAGCCAAATGCAAAACCAGTGAAAAAAAAGACCCGGAAAACACGAGGACAGAAAAATGACCTCCAGCTGTAAAACCGTTCCTGTTTTTTCCCGTTTTCTGACTTAACGCTTTACTCTGATTAAAAAGTGTTTCTTTAATTTTTTTGAGCTGCATACATGATATGTATTATCAGGCTAAGCAGGGTCAAAACACAGAAAAACAGCAGCATAATTGGGGAATTAGACCACTGAGAGATTTAGAGTTATTAGTCAAAGTGGGACACTGAATCATGTTGCTAAACTATTTAATTTAATTTAAATTAACATAGTTATTACACAATTAGCCCACATTTTTAATTTAATGTTGCACAACTCGTCAAAACATCACAATCAGTCTGAAATACCAACACTGTGTAAAAGAACTTAGACACATCATTGTTATTCACCTCAACATTAAACCGAATGTGAGAAATTCTGATGTGCTTTGTGAGTTCCTTATCAACTCATTGTTAACCAAATAAATATTGAAAAGATAGAAGCTGAGTGACTGCTATATTTAGGGCATGACCAGAATGAAATAAACACGCACGCACACAGATTGCTTCCTCATATGTATGACAAGGGCCATAACTGGTCATTCATTTTGTGAGGATAGCAGGGCTGAGACATTCCACTCGATCTTGCTAAGATGGATGTGGAGGGCTCAGCTATTCCATTACACTCAGTAGTGCTGAGCCTGTTGGACTGTGCTTAGGTGGAAGTCCGCATACTAATAACTCCAGCATATACGTCTCTGTACACAATCCTGGATCTTCTTACCTTAAAATATAATTACTTCGACATGTATTGGAAGATTGAAGTGTTTTCATGATAGTTTCGAAGATAGGAAATCAAGCCAACTACAGCACTAAAATGTGCCCCGTATGTCAGCAGCAATTAACTCTCGGTGTCACTTTTACAGAGTCTCATTGTGGTCAGTGGTGCAATCAGACTGACTGACTGTATTGGCTGTTTTGTTTATAAATCTGGATTGCAGAATTGGGTTCCCACCTGGGAATGGAAATACTTTCAGGCAAGTGTAATGTGAGGTCCTAATTAGTTCCACAGAGGTTAAGATGCAACACAGTTTGGAGAGCTGATGGCATGATTTCATAAGTGTGTCCAGCTCTGAATGCAAACGCCTATTTTTAGCATTAATAATTTGCCTTTTTACATTCTTAATTCATATTTATTCCCCAGAACTACTTAAAACATATATTCAATATTCAGGAACAACTGCTGTCTACAGTATAACGCTAACCAGACGAGATAAAGGCAACTGACAACATCTGTCACATACTCCTCGAGGACTCTGCTCTGTTCTTTCGGAAAGTTTTAACTCACATTAAATAGATAAATTGAACTTTAATGGATGTGAATAAAAAGTGACCCTTCTCGGCTTGTAGATGGTCAATGGAGAAGTATATGCAGAGTTTACAGAGTGAAATGCACTGAGAATAGAAAAAATATCTCTACCTGCAGACGTCTCTCCTTAGGGGCAAAGGTATATTACAGAACAGAAGTCAGACATTAAATAGCCTTTATTGTCATTCCAGAAAACACACAGTATGCTCGTTCACTACTCTACAATTAAAATGTTACTATCATCTTATACTCAGAGGCAGCTGCGTTAGCTCTACTTTGTGGGAATTACAGAGAAACTCTATTGAAGAGAAATGAAGTTAATTTGAAAAAAAGGATTTAATGCTAAGAGACACCAAATGAGAGAGTAAATTACTTTACTTTGCTATAAGCACTTTCTCATTTCTAGACAGGACAGCACAAAATGAGCTAAACAACATTTAACAGTCAGTCCTGTAAACGAAAACTAAATGAGGCTCTAAATAAATATGAAAAGTGAAGGGATAAGAATATCTCCACAGTCCCAGAAATTCCTCAGATTAATAATGATATCTTTCAAAAAGACTAAATGATGTCTGCTGGGCAGTGGAAGGCGATGCGACTGTAAATTTTATATTGCATTAGCTGCACTATGGATGACCTGCAACAGTCAAGCTGGGATGCATATAGCAGACAAGAGGAAGGGCAACAGGACTTAAAGGAACACCTTGTTAGCTGTAATAAATCTGTGACTAAATCTACACAGACCATCACATGAAGAATAGCACATTCACTTTAATGCATCAGCTTCAAGAGTGTCATATGTGGGAGCCTATGGGTATAAATGGCATCAGTGCCTGCAAAGCATCTGTCTGTCCAGGCAGCACTGAATGCATCATGTTTATGTGGATCTCCCTTGGTCTTACTGCATGATGAAGCAGGTCGACAGAACAGAGAGTACAGTCAATAACACGCGGGGTAACTGTGGACAGCTGTAATCTCATAGCACACAGGATTATGTAGTTGCCCCCCTGTGACAACCCTCTTGCTGATAATAGATTTGACAACATGAACACTGTGTGCTGTCTCCAAGGAACCATTTAATTTACAAGCCATTGAAATGATTACACGCACAATTTTCTGCACATATTAAAGCAGAGCTGATGTTTTTCCTTCCCTTCAATTGCATTATCCTGTTTACAATCCCCTTGACAACTGAAAGTGTGATGCGGCTCTAATAAACACATTTCATTCTCTATCCATTTCATGCTCCAACATAGATCATTCAGTGACACATCGGGGTGGGGGTTGGTGGCTGACAACTGGAGGTTTTTGGAACGAGTTAATAAAATCAACTTAGTCAAAATGTCAGCTGCCCAGAAAAGCAAGAAGCTGTGACTTAGTTTGACTCTTTTCCCTTCAGTCTTTTCTTTGTCTGCCTTCTCTACACCTGTTGGACAACTTCTTACATTATTAACATCAGATTTGCTCATTCAAAGCACAAAACTGACCCGAGTAAAGAAAACTCCACGTTATTGTTGAACTCCTTCGAAATCAGGTAACGTTAACATTCTGTGCAAGTTTGCTGTTTTCTAAGTCTCGCGGCATCCTCGTACTGCAGCTTGGAAATGGATCACTCTCGCACCCCCGTCGACTGGCAGCAGTAACAAATAAGATTGTTTGTGGCATATTGGCAGATGAGAAGAAGGCAAATGAAATGCTGCCCCTCGGAAGGACAGATGTGCTTCCTACCACTGCAAAGCTGCTTTGTTCTGTGCTGGCATTGCGGGGATACATCAGTAGTCAGCACATGTCTTACCTCGGGTCTTTATCCCTGAAATAATGTGATAGACAGGGATTACGCAGCTGGAGTATGTATGAAAGGCAAACAATAGCACAGGGTGCACAACTCCTGAGAAAGAATGTCTAAAACAAGTGTTTTTGTCCTGACTTCTACCAACCAAGACCATAAACAGAGTGACATTTTAGTTTTTCGAATCTGAAGCTCATGTACCACATCAATGACATAATTGCACAATTAAACATTAAAGATGAATCACCACAGCTGCTCAGATGCTCTCACTGAATTACCTGTAAATCTCTTCTCTGTCATAGCGGTGGAAATTTAGCCAGGGCATGTCTCATCATCTCTATTTATCTTGTTGATTTAGAGCTCTTGGAAAAGAGACACAAGGTAGCTTTGCACCTTAAATCACATAACTTGTAGAAACGGAGGCACGAGCCAACACATTCTTACACTGTAATATTTCATTGGCTCCAGTAAGAAACTTTGGAAATTTTGCGTTTACTGTGTAATGTCATAGACAGGAAATACAGTATAAGACGGCCAGCTATGCGCAGGTACAATAACAGCTAGTTAAGAATAAGGAGAAAGCGTTTTACTGTGAGCTCCAGAACCTTCTGTGCTGTGAAAAACACAAGGCTGGTACCCGGAAAAAGCAATCAAGAGGAAACCTAAGAACAAAGTACACGTGAAGTGATCCGTGAAAAGTGGAAGCTGGCTTTTTGTTTGTGATGACAGATTGTGCTCCCAGTGGTTTCACCTATGTTATCTGTGAATTAATGGGATTTGAAACAGTCACTCTTTAACTGCCTGCATTGTTTACTTTGTTTCATATTATTCATTTACACTCCATATGCTCTACAATGCATGTTGTTTGCCTTTAGGCTCTTCAGCTGCTGCAGGTTTTCACTTGTTTTCTCCTGCACTCATTTTTCTCTTTTTTACATAAAAAGTCACCAGGATACTACCTTTTCCCAAATGGTGATGACACCAATAATTCCATTTTAATAATTAATGACAAAGTGAAATGTAATCACTTGAGCTTGTTGTAACAGTGTAGCAGATATCAGCTTTTAGTGAGAGTCACAGGGATGCTTTTGTGTTTATGTGATCGCCTTCCTGATTTTGTAAAGCCACTCATCAAAGTAATATTTTCACAAGTGTGAAAAACACCACCATGATAGGAAAAATGGGACAGCGTTAGCCATTAAAAGGAACGGTAAAACTAAAACAATCTTGTGACCTTCATGCACAGGGCTTTAACCCCAAAAAGCATACATTGTTCGTTTGGTGTTTGCAATTTCCTGCTCGGTTTCTCTGTGTTTGCTTTTTTTTTTTTACCTCTAGTTCAACACAGCCTTTGCATAATATCAGACAATCCTTTAAGAACAAGTTCTGACAACCAGGAAAAAGGCAAAACAGAAGTGAAAAAGGACAGAGAAAACCCCAGTGTAGAAGCCCTGACATTGTTTTTTCTTGCTGAGAAACAGTTGTCTGCGTGCCAGGAAAAAAAGGGAGACCTGGAAGGCTTGGATAGAAATGAAATTGTCCAATTCTGGTCTCTATTGAAACTTCTTCCAGTGCCTGCAAACAGCAAACTGAAACTGGGAGTTGTTAAGAGACATTCTCAGGCAAATGTTACAGCAGGCTAATGTGATGTGGAAAGTTGTGGCATGATGGTTCAGGGGATGAGCGGATTGTGATAAACTT